GAAGGCGATTCCGCCGAAACGTCAGCCTAATAAAGGTTATCTAAAAACCTCGTGAAGAGTTCAAGACAACAATAAACTCGGAAATGTAATCATGCCGAGGTTCATAGAAAGCCGTATATGAAACATCAAAATGTTATTCATCAACCTTTTACGTAGAAATGCAGTTAAAAGCAGGTAACACGTCAGCGAGCGTTCCTGAAATTTTCAAGAGTCTGTCAAAAAAGTTCAAAATTGAAATTATTACGTTCAAAAGTTAAGACTTCTTAGTGAAGTTCAAATGGTGTTCGCCACATCTATAAGAAAATAATGGCGAACGGGACCAAAGGAGGCGTAAAAGGAAGAGAGATAAACAATACTCCTGAAGAAAGCTGCAACATCGACGGAAGGTGCAGAAGATAAAAAAGGATGAATATTAGTGCTACTAAATTGTCCTCTGCAATTTCGCGAGTGTTGCAATAGTGTCTGAGCAACTCTTTTTGCTTGTTGGCCTAGTCCACCCCTACAAGAGAAATGGTCTAAAAAGAGACTTATGTCACTAAATTTTTGTGTATCGTCTGCACATATTTCCTCTTTTTCTTGACATCCTCACCTATTTTCCAATAGTAGTGTTACCACTTCTTCACAAAATGAAAGAGTATTCCTAGCGCTTCTTGAAATATAGAAAGCAACAAAATTTCTAGTCGACAGAAGGTGGAGGTTATGATTTTAAGTAGTTCGGCAGGGCAAAAAAAAAAGACGTCGGAAATTTGCTAAGTAAGTTGCTGTTATAGCTATAACAAGGTGCTGAGAGTAGGTGTTAGTTCACATCCTCTTTTTTTGAACATCACTTCATGCAAATGTAACATTTGATCGCATAATTTCAGCCGTACTGAGCTCTCGATATCGGATTCTCTCTAGTCAGAATAGTGTAAAGACGGGAATCTAAACCACCATAGTAAGGGCAAATACAGAAACAATATCTGTGCTTGTCTTAGCCCCTGTCTAGACAGACCTCCCTGCGTGCCCCAAGCAGACTTCCGCAAAGATCATTTACAAGCAGGAATCCGTTAGCAATCTTGTTCATGATCAGAGACGATCGATTGCCAAAGGCTCGTAGCAAAGATATAATCGCATTTTCTAGAATTCTTCAAGCTTGAAGCACCCCTGATTCCAGACTTCGTAGTGCTCGATAAAGCAGGAATAAGCTGAAAAGAAGGTAACGCAGAGCTCACACTAACGAGCAGGTAGTAAACCATTCTTGGAATCGCGAAAGTGAAGATGCTAAGTGAGGACCAAAAGTGAAGAGCTTCAGCTTTAATTTGCATTTATAAAATACCAGTTGGGCTACGCACGTTAATGCGTGCACAACATGCCCACTAACGCTTACCTACGACTTGTTAGAGAACCAATATGAACAGTATTGGTTGACTTCCCATTCCATAACTGTTTCCTCGCACCGCTCACGTGGCATTCATACTCTTCGTCGTGACATTCGGAAAGACGCACAAACGGGCATGCAAAAACCCACAAAATTACCGCTTTATGTATAGAGACAGTCGAACCGCCCAGCTAACGCCGGGTTTCCCTCCTCCTTATGATAAAGTTGTGATAAATGGCAAACAACACTCCTTCTATGGAACGAATGATACTTTTCGGAACATGAAGTTCAGTAGTGGAAAACTCGAAACGAACTGTCGCTTTGATGTTAAAAATAATGACCCCAAAATAAAGAGATTTAACTGGTAGCTATTCAAAGCCTTGAATGGTACTCACAAATGTTGTCGAGTCATATGAGAATCCAAGATTATTAGCGGTCGGATAACTTCTGCCATGAATGATATCAAAACAGAGAGAAACCGCGATCCTTCATTGAATCGCAAACTTCGCTGGGTAGCGGCCGTAAGCAAGAAGTGAACCGAATTTCATAATCGGCCCTTTCAGTGCACTTACCTTCTTGTCGAATGAAATACCAAAGAACCAAAGCTAAATTTGAACGTCCTGGGTCCACGGGGACAGGCGCTAGGATTCAATTGGTGATTGGGTCTTGTTCTCTATGGCCTCCTCCATCGTCATTGTTCGCATCCTGCCCTCCCTACTGTTAATTTTGCTATCCGAGTCCGCGAGATCAGGAGTTGTGGATTTTCGCTCAGTCATTTATCTCGCACGAACCCCTCCCTCTGTAGGCAGGGTCCAGTTTTGCTACCCACCATATGTGTTCCCATCCTGCCGCCTGTGCTTCCACCAAATTTGAACGTCCAAGGTCCAGTCGCTATGAATTTCCGTTCAAACAGACAGACAGACAGACAGACGGACGGACAGACAGACGCGAGCGCTTTATGAAAAGTAAGGATCGTTTCTTATACCAGTGATGATTCAAGTAATAGCAAGTTAATCATGATAACATTACTCTCGCTCCTTCTTTTGAATTGGACTAGGTAGGTGAGAGAAGTGAATGGCAAAGTGTTGGGTTCTTTTGATAAATCATGTGGTGCAATACAGACAACACCCTAATACTCCAGGAGTAAGCCGAATATCTTCTGCAAACATCCGTGTAACATCCGTGTTAACTCGGATGGTGGCGGATGGTTAACACTGCATAAAAGATCAAGTCTTGGAATATCTAGATTTCCATCTCTCCGGCGCCTGCTGATCAGCCAGACCTATTCGATTAGAAGGAGAGAAGCTCTAATTTTATTAGGTTGGAAAAAAAAGTCCTGCGACAAAAAATTTGAAGCGTCAACAATTTGTATCAACAGCGTGAACACGGTAGCAAGAGCGATAAACTTGTGGGACATTCCTCAGGTAATCAACGCATGAGTAAATAAGGGCACGCGTGTGGGCTTCAGCACCTTACGGTCAATAAATTACGGCCGGTCATACGGCCAATTCGTATCATCACCTTCTACTAAGCAAGCCAAGGGAAAAACGCGGGTGTAGCGGCTCAAATTATCAGCAACCTATTCAATGCTGGCACTGCTCACCGATCAACGGTCAACAATCGGTTGGCTCGCTTCACTAGAGGAGGTACTAGTCTTCGAAGTAACGCAAGCATCGTTCCTTAATTCAATGGAGGTTGAAGGGATCCATCCGCTATGAGTTGCTAAACGCAGACTAGGTGGACACAGCTATCGCTTACCCCTATGTACCCCGAAATTTGGCCAACGGGGTTAGAAAGGACGATCAAAACCGTAAATCAGGTCACTACAAACGGACGACGCACGTCGAAATTTCGCTTTTAACACCTTTCAAAAGTTCTACTATTCCAATTGGTTCCAGGTTGTTCATCAGTCGTACTCCCTAAGTGCTGCCTCTTTTACCTAAAATACGCTCCGCCTTCTTGAGTATATCGTTGTGGAAAAAAATTGTAACTTAATGTGATCCGAAATCGGCAGTCAATTACTTCTTTGAGTCATAGCTTCCTCACTCCTGGAGAAAGGCATCAGTGATTCACTAAAAGGATAATAGAAGGTCGTTCTCCTCTTTGGTAAATATATTTCCAAAAGTTGATTGCCTTGGAAAATTTCAGAATGAAAAGGACCTTCATTTTGTCGCAGGACTTTCCTTCCAACCTAATACATAATCTGTCCACCCACCGCAAGTCATCCTGGTGGTCACATACGCATCAGAACGTCGCCAAGATTTTGAATAAGAGTCGACTGAAACCTGATTACATAGCGTCAAAACACTTTATCCTTCATCCTTGGCCTTTGCAGTAACCTTGGAACTGGTCCAAATGTTGAAATTACCCTTGCGAAGCCTCGTGAAAGTGATCAGTGGATGTTGTACAGATCATACATTCGTGCGGACGAGGTGATACAAGTTGATCCATCTCTCAGCAATGCATGAGATTACCTTGCTGACATTTCAGCTAACTGTTCTTGACTACAAGGAAACAAAGTTGTTCTATCTCCAGTACATGCCCCAAGGCCTTCTCACTATGGAAACTGACTTGTCACTGCAGTACATCACTGACTGGATAAGGTGAGCCGCAATGATGTTGCAAGGAATATCAAAGGAATAAAGAAGCGTTTCCAAGATGAGTGTTCCCAGCACAGGATTAGCGTAGTTTTAGGATTAATAAGCGTGATCAAATCGCCAAGTCGGAAGTGAGGCAACTGATCTGAATTGAAAGTAATTCTTTATAAGTAGCTAGTGGAACACGTTAGACAAATTGGGAGTAAACCGCAGCACCAGTTCTGTTGAACAGATGAGCTGGTCAGAGCTGAGCAGGAAACCGAAAGTAACAGAATTGCAAGAGCAACATAAATTTAGGACAAAACTAACTGACACATACATATCTGATTGGTCGAACAAATGCCAACAAAGTATCATTTTAGTATAGCATTTATAATGCGCAATGAAATGGAACGACGACGGAATGGCGTGCGATCTTTTGGTAAAGGGAAGCCCGTGACAGCCACCGATTTATGTATTGCACCACTTCATGCCACTCACCGCAAATCACACGCCAAAGAGCAGGTGAAATTCCAAACAAAGCCATTGTAGAGAGTTTTTATGTTGAAAACTATTTGACATGGAGCTACTGCATTCGAGTTTCTCACGGAATGGTATCACTGGCTCACAAAGTATATCACTGATGCAATATTCTTGAGTTAGGAAAAGAGTATCAGCAAAAAGAAGGGAGTGTAAGTTTAGAAGCAAGATATTGTCAAACGAGGGGAAGGTGACTACGATTTTTCTATAAGAGACAAAAGGAAGAAAATGGAGACGAAACCATGAATGCTGGGTGGTTGTGGTAAGAAAAGAGAGAGGCCAGCAATTATTGAAGGAAACAAGCTTTTAAAGAATGGAGTAGGAATGAACTAGTGGGGAATAATTTTTCAGAATAGTATACTGTGTATTATCGAGGCAAGAATAGCTATTTGATGGGAGTGAAGTCGTTAAAAATTGGATGGCTCGTTTGGACATAATGCTGGCTTACGAAGAAAAGAAAAGCAACAGGTGCAAGCTCGGTCGGACGGTCTGGTATTGTTTGGACTCCGCCTGAAAGTCAACAAGACTGCGTACATGACACCGGAGCCCAATGTAGAAGCGCTACTAGGATTGACTACAGTGAATTTCGGTGTATATCTATCCTCCAGTACCATGGACCGACAATAGCGTCTGACATTAGTCTTGGTTACGAAGTCAATGCACATGTGAATGCGGCCTGGTCTCAATGGCGCTCCATTTCTGACGTTTTTGCGACAAAAAAAAAGGACGCCTTAAATAATGATCTGCAGGAACATGATATGAGCAGTCGCAATTTACGTAGCATAGTGCTGGCCTCTTATTTGGAGATTTGAAACACGCATTGGGGATTGGATTGGGAAAAGCCGGGGTCACGGATCCTATTCGTGACGATACAATAATAGAGCGCTTTGGAGATCCCCTACTACCAATGAAATGCGCAAATCTCGTCTTCCGTGGTACCGTCATATCCTACGCGCTGCAAAAAGAGTGCGTCTGTGAGTTGACCTCCACCTCAATGTGCTCACAAACCAGCTTGAAGTATGACCAAGGCAGCGTTTTGTTGACACCTTGCAGCAACTCAGAATTATTGGACCTTCATCCCGACCAAGCTTTCAATATGGAAAAGTGAGGTTATTACAACACAAAAGCGAATTTCGCTGAGTACAAAGGCAAAGAAAAAGAAGGAGGCAACTCGTGCCAAAAGTTGCTCAAATGAAATCTATACCACTATATGGCCTGACTGACGTGGTTATGAATGAGTAGCACAACATGAGACGCTTGAAGCTGATGAAAAGGTACGGTTTAACAGGGGCAGGAAACTTATGAAAGGAATGCCTAGTATTAGAAGTTTCCCATCAACAACATCAAAACAGTGACCTCTGCGCCCGCTAGCTCCAAAATATTTGGGAAGGCTAAGTTGTACGATCATGTTTGAAATTACTAGTGTAATGCTCTCCATCTGGTACGAAAAGTTGTGTGTGGTGCTGCGTGAAAAATTGAGGTAAAAGGTGAATTCTGAACAATGTGGCTGCATGTTTCAAGTTAGACTTCATTTCAGTTGAGAAATATAAAAATTTGGCCACAAATGGTTGCTGAAATGGCATCGGACATTGTGAAATCAGTAGAACATCGTCTCCTTTTCGTAGAAAATTTGATCCGTTTCGGGGGTGCATCAAAAGTTGTTAAGGTTTGTTCGTGATGCATTTCACTTTCGCAGGGAACGACTAATTATACTACACATATCTATCTGTTTCTCAGGAGTTTATCGAAGAAAATAAAGAATGGATTGATGAACGACTGAAGTTGAACAACATTAACAAGCGAATCACTCTTGGGAAAAACCATATAGAGTTCGTCAGCATTTCTGTGTTTTTTACACACGAACCGTGATACCATGTACCGTATATCTCTTTTGGAAGAGCAAAGGACAAAAAGGGCAGGAACTTCGAGGGTTTGGCGATTCATCCGGCTCGATGATAACTCAGTTCCCAAATAATCGGATAATTTATGCCAACTCTGTTAGTAAGGGGAAATGCTATGATCACTGACTCCGATTGTTGGTCACGTTCCCCTGCTTTTTAGGTTTTTGCAGCAGAACAAAACTACGCTTATTTTCGCCCCGCATTATTCGAACTTCCAGAGAACTCAACATACTCCATCCGTTTGAATCCGGCTATCAACTAGTCAGCGAATTGCACGAGCTTCCACCCTCCCTTGGACATGCTGTATTCTTCTGTCGAGCACTGAGAGATCTTTCTTTGACCATAAGGAGAGAGGAAATTGTAAGAAAGGTAGGTTTTTCCGTTTGGCCTCCCAAAGACCAAAGGCAAAGGTCATAGTAACCTCACACTCTAGTTTTCCTCAGAGGAATAGCTTACTCTTGCTCAGAAGAAGATATGTCACTTATGTCTACTGAATAAGGTTTTCGAAATACAAGTTCCCATCTCGTGTCACATACTTTCGCTGCAATAAAGACGATAGAATATCGGTTGCTGCTTCATTTATAACCGTTCGGGAGCCCGGCTGGCTTTCACCGGGCGTCATGCCTTACTTTTACAAAGCAATTAGAAAATGTAGTTTAGGAAGGGGGGGGAGGGCATCACTTTTATTCAACACTGAGGGCTTGAGTGCAGAAGTGTGGTAGCCGACCTTACCTGTGCTTAGAGGTTTCTGGGCAGGATTATAGTTTTTCTTAAGCCTGAGGAGGGGAGGGGCGCCTGGGATTGGGATGATCACCTCGTGCAAAAAGCCAGGATGGGGTACGAATTGAATATTCACTTGACTTACGTTCTTGTATAGACATGCACAGCAGATGCCAGCACAGATCGAAATCACCGCTTCGAAGTACCCACTCCACTCCACATTTCTCACTTCACTCCTCAGTACTTACTCTACTCCATTAACCTACCCACAATTTCTGCTTTATATATAAGAAGGAAGTGTAGGATTGAGCCACGTTTTCCATATCACTACCCTTATTGTAATCATAGTTTTACGGACGGACAGAAAGACAAACCGACACACCGACAAACTGACACACCAAATTACTGCTTGATAAATAAGAGATAAGAGATGTGCAAATAAAAAAAAATTCACAGTGCATCTAGCTATCCATGATATATATAAACCGCTAACTTTGTGTGTCCGTTTGTATGCCCGTTTGTGCGTCCGCCCAAAAATCACGTAGGCAAATGATTAAATGCGTTATCAATGAAGCGGATACATATATTTCATTAGATGAGGATCTAAGATCATTAGCGGTCGAATAAGCCTTGCCAAAAGTGATATCGAAGCGAAGAAGAATCGTGATCCTTCATGGAGTTAAAACCTTCACTGGGAGCGGCCGTAAAAAGCGTTCTCCTGACTCTTCACTGTCATGCTAAATCCCTATACTATGGGCGATTCAACTATCGGTTCGCAGCTAACTGAGGGAGGAGAGAGGTTAGGCTTCTTGGGCAAAAAAACTTTTTGCTCATGAAAAATTCTTACCGAATCTTTGCATTTAACTTATTTTCCAGACTAGACGCGTATTTTTCTGCAGATAGAAATCACTAGAAAACTAATCTAATCGAAATCTCTAATTTTAAGTGTGGGTTTTGCTCACAGATGCGCACTCCAAAGAACTATCCACTCCATAACACTTCAGTAGCTAGATGAAGGTTTTCCAAATTTGGAACTTA